ACATAACATTGTCAAATTTCGCATGCCATTGCTTTGGAGCTTGCTTTAACCCGTAAAGGGATTTCAGGTTGTTCTAAATATATCTCTTCTTCCAGGTCGCCGTTTAAGAAGGCGGTCTTAACATCCATTTGATGTATTTGTAATCCATTCAGTGCAGCTACTGCGATCAACATCCTAATGGATGTGATCCTTGTAACCGGTGAATAAGTATCGAAATAATCGAGACCTTCACGTTGCCTGTAGCCTTTTACCACAAGCCTTGCTTTATATTTATCAATAGTGTCATTCTCTTTCATTTTTCTTTTGAAAACCCACTTACTTCCTAAAGGCTTATTGCCAGGAGGAAAGTTTACCAATTCCCAAGTGTGGTTGGACAAGATAGACTCTATCTCACTATTGATAGCCTCTTCTCAGAATGGTCCTTCCAGGGACGTTATAGCTTCCTTATACGTCCGAGACTCATTTTCTAATAAATATGTCATAAAATCAGGTCCAAAGGATGTAGCGGTCCTTTTCCTCTTGCTACGTCTAGTTCATCTTCTACATCCTCTACAGGATCAGTATCAGTTGTAGCATCTCGAGGTATCACAACCTGATCATCATTACTACCACTTGATTCATGTATTTTCTTATACGGAAATACATCTTCAAAGAAAGTAACTTCCCTTGATTCAATAACCGTATTAACATGTATATCTGAAACGTCAGATTTATACACAAGAAACCGATAAGCACTACTATTAAGTGCATAACCGATGAATACACAATCCACGGATTTAGGTCTGATTTTCAACCTTTTTGGTTTAGGAACCGCAACCTTAGCCAAGCACCCCCACACTCTAAAGTATTTCAGGGATGGCTTCTTTCTTTTCCATATGTCGTATGGTATGCTCTTTGTCAAACACCCCTACACTTCAAGATAATTCAAGGTAGGCTCCCTACCTTTCCATATTTCATAGGAGGTGTTCTTAATTTTCTTGTGGGATACTTTACTGATTATATATAATTTGTCATTAAATGAATTTTTCCCACAAACCAGACATCAACAAGATCATATCATTTAATGTCTGGGTCTTTTTCTCAGCAATCCCATTGGATTGTGAAGCATAAGGAGCAATCATTTGTTATATGATATCACACTCGAAACTGAACTCCTCGAATGGTCATTATAATCTTCCCCTCGATCGCTCCTTAATGCCTTTAACTTTCTTACTGAACATTAACATATATCAAATAATAAATCCAATTTAACCATAAGATAATATACAATTATCATGTCATTTACAATATTCAAAGTTATCCATTGACCTTGATCATGCCATCACTAAGATAGCTCTTTTGAGTTCACATAGTATCAAATATTTCACTAGATATAAGGCTTTTATATCCATCAAAGCACATAGTGCATTTTTAAGCAAGAATTATCACTTGCCTAAATCATAAAGTCAAAACTTTCACATTTATAAGTCACGCATTAATGGATATCAAACACCATCATATACCGTCAAATCCATTAAGTGTACCATATACAATTGAATGCCAATAAATGCATAACATTTCACACATAATAATTAATATAACAAAATACTCATGTCATAAATATTTCTCATTTATCATACTATATACCATTAAATGGCATCAAATTTCACTGCATTTCTCATTGAACCAGCATCAAAGTAAGCACATCAAACCAAAGGTCATATATCAATTTTTGGTACCATGCTTATAAATATATAAAGCCATTTCACAAAAGACTTAATATAATTGAAAAAACCATCAACCACCAAACCGGATTCATCGCAAATCATGGTTGTCTTTCACGAAACAATTCTTTTAGAATGAAGCCATGCATATAATTAGAACAAAGTTCACAAAATTCAAAACATTATATAGCAATGTTTTCACGACTGTTAAACTTACAATTCACCAAAAAGTTTCCAATGGCATTTTACATATATTCCCTCCCTTTATGTAATGCATTAAATACATAATATACTGGCATGCATTAATGGAATTACATCAACCGACATATCTGAATTTTTTATTTTATTTTTAAATGCAAACATATCTGAATTTTTCATTCACCTTTTTGCACCATAGAAGTCACTAAACTTCAATTTCAAATATATGCATAAAGCACACAAACTTCCCATGTTGTGCCTTAATCAACATATGTGCATCGTAATTTTTTTTTTTTTTATCCAAACAAAATTATTATTTCCAACACAAAAAACGAAAAGCAATTATCGTTACAGGAACTCATATATACATTGAAAGGCCATATGCCCATATCAATGCACGATTATCGAGAAGGAAATAATATATATCAAAGAAGTATGATACTTGAGAAGAAAAGTAATAGAAATCAATTGAATACGTAATAGAATCCAAGTCGGTAATTTTACTAACCATGGCTATTCAAAACTAATAAGCATGGACACGAAAATTGAGACAAGTAATATATCTCAAAACCAAAAGAAAACATGTATCCAAACTATAAAATGAAAATCAATTAATCGGATTCTATAGATATAGAATAATGGCAACAAACCATAAACCAAACATGCAGACTCGTAACAGTGACGGTTCTATTTTTAGAAAAAATTCCAACTTCTTACATAAGAAGCACGTGAGCCGAGAAGAATTAATTTATTATCTGTGTTAGAAGGCAAAATCATTGAAACATGAATTTGACATAATTTTTGCAAACACGGATATCAAACAAAAATTAATTGAAAATCCGCCATTTGAATATTCACAAACCAAATAACTAACACGGATTAGTATTAAAACGAAGGTGTCTTAATACACAGATTAGAGATCCACTTTCTGTTACACAAACAGAAATTACAATTAATCACACAGATTAATAACACATATTAATCACACAGTAAATAAAACAGAAACAGTATATAAAACAAGAAAAAAGATATACTGATCACAGGTTCAAAACACTCAAATTGTCTTAAGATTGTTATTAAAGACAGTGGGTGATGTTAAATCACTAAGAGGTTTGAACCCATGTATAAAGCAGAGGAGGAGGTAGATGATCAGAATTATCACTGTGCAATTATAAACAATTAAAAAACAGACTTACTTGTCAGGTATTAGAGAAAGACAGAATGATGAATCAGATATGCAAAATCAGAAGGATAAAATCCGAGCCCACAGAACGTGTCTCCTTAAGACAATTTGCCCCTTCACTGATGCCTAAGATAGATGGACATTTGTCTCCCATGATAGAACGGATTTCGTCTGAAGAGTGGCGGCACTACCAGTCAACAGCCCAAACGAACACAACAAAATGTCAGAGGAAACTACACCGGAGTATGAAAGGAACATGCAAGACCGGAAGGAGAAAAATTCCGGCAGAGTTTCAGTGCAGAAAAATTGGATCCATTTTCTGAAGGTGTCAGTGTCTATTTATAGACAATGTAAAGTCACGTTCCAAAAGCCACCTATTCGACGACGAAACAACACATCTGTTGGACACGAAAAGACACATTCGTTCGACACGAAAAGACACATTCGTTCAACACGAAAAGACACTCATTCAAGGATGAAACAACATGTCCGTTAGGATGAAACAACATGTCTGTTAGGATGAAACAACATGTCCGTTAGGATGAAACAACATGTCGGTTAGGATGAAAAGATACATCTGTTTGTCGACGAAAAGGCACACCTTTTCACTACCAAACTTCTTATTCATAACCAATAGATTGTCTATACAATATATATATATATATATATATATATATATATATATATACATATATATATATATATATATAAATTCCAACAACACCTAATTTAGGACGTAACGGCCTAGCTATGATTGTTGTAATCACTTTCATTGTAGAGCAGAGGATTTGGATCCTCTCATGTGTAATCGCCGTCATTGTAGAGTAAACACATGTCCTGTGATCATAATCATTCATTGATATGATAATGAAATAAAAGAGAGAAAAATGTATAATTTTTAAACAAGTAGTTGAGATCAAATAACATATCACATTGCCACTTTTTCAGATGAGATGATCCAAATAAATATACTAATTGAATATGGGATACCTGAATTCACTAATGGTATCGTAAATTTTTTTAGCCTAGATATCAATCATCTATACGATTACACTTTTCTCTCTCTTATCTCGTCATCAATGAATGGTTGTAATCAAATAACATGATCATTTTTCACGTAAGAGAATCCAAATCCAATAATTTTATAAGAACTCTTCGCATTGTCTCAGTCACTTTCCGTTGGCACCGCTACAAAGTTTTCAAAAGAATGATTTATCCAATGAGAGAGGTTATATTGACAAACTTTTTTTCTTACAAATTACACCAAGTCTAACTAGTCAGACTGCAATCAAGAATGTATAACTGGTCAAATTTAACGTAGTTTGTAAGAAAAAAATTTGTCAATATAACCTTCCCATTATCCAATAGCTAAAACTTTGGTTTAAAGTGTTGTGTGCTCTGTTGTGTACCACGCGTAGAAAAAAAAGTAGAGGGAATGCCTTATACATGGATTTCAAAAGGGGTTGTGTGTCACTTTTTTATTTTATTTTTCCTTTTCACTGTTGCAAAGGGTTATATTTTTTGTTATTATTTTTTGGAGATTTAAACATCTTATACTGATTTGTTCACATGAAACAATGTATGTATATGCACCAAGCTCCATACGTAAGAGTGAAAGAAAGGAATCTTTCTTTCACGAATTGCATCTGATTTCTCTTCCCTGATGGATGATGCAAAAGTGTAATGTGGTAACAAGCAGCGAAGGAACTTTTCGGAAGATGATCAGTAACCAACCAATAGAACTTGGTTTTTGTATATTCAGCAATGAAGTTTAGCTATTGGCCAATAATAACTTCATAGCTTAATGATATTTAACTTTGTTAGAAAGGCGTAAAACTGGGGTATTAGTTCTTGTTCTATTCATAATTCAACAAGCTTACAACTCACTTTTTTTTTCTTTCTATTTTTTAGGTGAGTGCTACAGCACACTTTGTTTCCAACCTCTGATGGCACAACTAATGGAAAGTAAACTTACAAAGCAAGGAACCATAGACCATAAAGTCAAATACAACATTGGATTCTTTGCTGGCATTTGGCAATCATATTGGCCCACCGCATGAGTAAGTGACATTACAGGATTCTCCAATGATGACTGAGTACTGATGCAAAGGTCTCATAAGAAAAGGAGGCAATAGAACTAAAATTTGACACACACATTGGGTGTCCACTTCCCTAGCCCACCGGCAACAGTTGTCTTCTTGAGGGTTGTGGCGGTGACTTTGCTGGTGCCCATGGCCATGCCTGTGGCCCCGTCTATGGTGACTCCTGTGTCCCTCCTCATCATCAGGAGAGGGTGGAGGTGTTAGTGGTAAAAGTGGGGACCCTGGGAAGATAGGCAACCTTCCACAAGCGTAGTTTACTAGTGCAAGTTGGGATGCACAAAGTGGTCTAAGAGGTGGTTGCGGCATAGGAATAACTGGTGGCATAATCTGGCTCTCCAACTTTGGCACTACTGCCACAAATGTCAGAACAAGTGTAATTAAATTAAAAAGCTTGGCTCTCTCCATATTGTACTGTCTCTTCTCTCTCTTCGGCTAATACCTCAGAACCCTGAAGTGTTTTGATGTTCAGATCATCCCTTAGAAGTAGAAGAGCTTAAATACTTGCAAATTCATAAGCCTGTTTTCAGTAGGTTGTTTATCTGGTGGATTATATATAAAATTTAATTACCAATAGAATGGGTTGAGGTCCTGCTTGCTTACCACTTCTCATGTATTTTGTGTGATGACTTTATAGGTGACTACAAACTACTTTAAATGGGGGTTCGAATCACCAACCTTCTTCCTGAAAAACTCATCTCACAATGGTGAGGAGTGTGAGCAAAGGGTGTATGGGATAATGCACAAAGTAATAGCATGCAGAACTTATGAGGAGAAACTAACTGGGGGATTTTTCTGGCAAAAAAGGTCCTATAAATTACAAGATACACAGTAAGAGAAACAAATATCTAACCAAAAAAATAATCGGAGCATTCAAGAAAAAATTGCTTATGTCTGCTGCTCACAAAATATATTCATGCTTGTTGCAAGGGTTAATGATTAAAAGCTAGACCAGCATTTTCTGCTTTCACCCGTACACTCAACAGTAACCACTTAAACATAGTTGTTGATGATCCAAAATCTTCATTGATTAATTTGACTCAGTATAACTTCCACGCCGTCTGTTAAAGTGCAACCTTCAAACAGTAGTAAGATGACAATTGAGGACAACAATTCTTTTAAAGTAACATGCGTAAATGGTACCAGGACAAATTTAAGTTCTTTGAACTTTTCCTTAGCCTGTTTCCAGATGTTCCTGAAACATGGAAAGTGGAAACCAAATACTCCATTGCTGCTCTGAGAAGATAATTTGGTAGCAGAACTTGGTCATCATCCAAGAATGCAACTCTTTTCTTCCATCCTTAGCACATATATAATGATCTTTCTTTCACTTTGAATTATCAGAGGAATTCCAATATTAGATGTCTCCAGCAGAAATTCCGTGTTTCTCACACTTTGTTAAAGAAAATACTGCAGGCTTGGTCCGGGACCAGAAGGATCATTTGGAGCACAGTGATGTTAAATTCCTAGATTCCAAAGCACAATCAGTTAGACAACATAAATCTAAGTCTGTTCACAATATCCTTCTTTGCTAGTCTAATTTTGGTACTTTATCATGCATTTCATAGGTTTATAAGTGCATTGTTACATAGCCCAATATATCATTAGGGGCAAGTTTATGATAAATGTGCATTCCAACAAGATGAAATAAGTTGAAATTAAAACTTAGCTTCCAACATTTTCAAGGAATATTTTTACTCGAAATTAAAATAATTCAAGGACTGCAATACTTTGATTTCTGTCACTTTAAAATTAGGTTAATTACTAACACCAGTACAAGTAAAAAGGAATACTATTTAAACAACAATACTTCTCTACCCCTACACATACGAAATTGGTCTCAACAATATAAACATAGACAAGAAAATTGATCTCTATATAAATTACTACGGCAAAAAATATTTTACTGAAGTATCTTTTGAATAACAGGGTACTAAGAAACAACCATTCAATTTTTTCTAAACTAAATTCATGCATCTCTCAAGGTTAATAATCACATGAAGTGTGGAGTATTGCAGTCGCCAACAATGGTCAAGCATCTTGCTCATTAAAATCTTTGCCTGTTTTACATTTTCATTCACCAACTCTCGTGGCCAGAAGTTCCATGTCTTTCTTAATTTTCTCTTGTTTCGACCTCAATTCATGTGCTCTTTGCCGCCAACCCGCCTCCAACAACTCAACAAATTTTTCTCTTATCTGGAGCAGTGGATCCAGGTCAATCAACTTATCACCTTTGTATGCTTCTCTCAACATAGCTGTCTCAATCCCACCTTTCAAGGACATATAGAATATCCCTGAATGCCTAGTAAAGGCACTTGAAAATGCATTTGAAAACCTATACTCATCACAAAACTTTCCCAGGATTGGCACTGGAATCCTCTTATACAATGAAAGAGAAAGCAGCTCGTGAAACACACCAACTGTCCTCTTCTCCATCTCTCTTGAGGCTTGATCCAAATGGGACACATCCATATAAGGGGATATATAATCAAGCTCCATCCAATCCCTAACCCACTCCCTCATCTCCTTCCTCAACACAAACCCTGGTGGAAGCTTGATATTGAAATTAGGCCTAACCCTTATCCCCATACACCTACTCTCCTCTTCAGCCCTTTGCTCAATAACAGATTTTGCAAACTCGGGGTTCCAAGAAACCAATTCCAGAAACGATTTCCCCTCACCAGGAAACCCAGTTAGCCTAAAATACTGAGGGTACTTAGGAACCAAATCAACCAAAAAATCATTTGGGAACCCAAACTCCCTCTTCACATGAAGCAATTTATCAGCACTAACAACCTTATTCTTCGACATCATCAACAATTTACACAACTTGGACACAACGAAGGCCTCATTATCCCTAAGAATCAGTTTTTCTTCATCCAAAAACTGCCGGAACCGGTCGGTGAACCGGAGAAACCGAACCGGTTCGGTTTTTGGTTTTATGCGATCATAGTAGACATCGAACAAGGCAGGGTTTTGATTCAAAAAGGTTTCGACTTTCACCTTGAGGCGCATCCTTTCGCGGCGTTTTTCGAGGTACCGGAGAGGGATAACTTGACCCGGTTCGTTGAGAACCTCCTTCACAACGCGGGCACATTGCTTAATACGTTTATCGTTCTCTATGGTTCGGTCAAGTTCTTGGTCTTTGCGCCACACTACTTTGAGGCTTGATATAGATCTAGCGTGAAGGTTGAGCTTGAGATTCTTCTCAAGGTAGGAGGAGATAGCGTGAGTTTTGGTTTTGGCATTGGAGAACATACCTTGAGCTTGAGCATGAGCTAGCCGCACGGCACAACCACCACAGTGTTGGCAATTTTGCACAAAAATGAGATGGGCTTGCACAACAACTAAGAAAGATTAAAACTTTAACTTCGATGGGCCTGTTAACTGTAATTGAACATCGAATTCGAAATATTGTCAACCATTGAAAATTTGAAATATCCCGTGAGAGATGCTTGTAATCTTCTTGTAATTTTGTACAATTTTTTCATGTTATACATTATTTTCATATGATTTGTAAAAGGGAGGTTATAATTACTACTTTGCAACAACAACAACAACAAAAAAGTGTAGCATTTAGTAAGAATTTCTGTAGGTATTTAACCTAACTATAAACGAGACAGTTTTTTTCCCCTATATTTATTTTACACTTCTTGGAAATAAAATTATTCTCCATTTGATGGTAGGCATTTGCCTTGATCATGACGTGTTTTCATTGATATACACATAATTTCTTATGATAAAATGGTTTGGTAATTTATATGTATACTTTTTTATAAAAATAATATGAACGTGTATGTGTAAAGTTTTAATCGAGGTGCGGATAAATTAATTTCAATAGCACTTGACTGTAATATTAAAAAACAAAAAGAATTACAAAAAAAAGGGATAAAGTATGTTTTATACAATAAACAAGTTATCTTTCTTGTTAGGTAATTTTAATAATATTATAACTTAATCTTTGATAAATTATTTCCTTAGTTTTAAAAAAAAAAATCTCTTAAAATTACAAACAATAGATTAATCATATTAGATTAATATGTTAAAATTTTAAAACTAAAAAAAATTAAAAAAAAAAACTAATAAAAAATGCATGGTAGGAATTTTTTTATATTTTTCAATTTAATAATATATATATATATATATATATATATATATATATATATGGGATAAGTTATTCTACCTACGTTCGTTTTTGCCTACCTTTGCCTACCACTCTCTAATACCGTTATATCAGAATCTCAATAAGAGAGAGAAAAATAAATGTTAGTTAAGATTCTGATCTAACGGTTTAGATAATAATAGGAAAAAGTAAGCAGAAAAAATGGTAGGTAGAATAACCTATATATATATGGAAAAACTCTTCTCAAGCAACTTGAGATAAGTTTATCTCCGGCCCCCCAAAACTACGTCATTTTATTTATTTATTTTCTTATATTAATTGATTTACCTTTGAATGGTTATGATTCTCTTTTTCTCTCTCTTCCTTTATCATCATTGATCCATCTTTGTACGGTTATGAATTTATGATTTAGTAGCCGGATAAAATTATCTCAAGCAGCTTGAGAAACAATAAGCTCATATATATATAAGAGGTTGTCAAGGAATATAAGTTGTAAGTATAACATTCCCCTGTATATATATATATATATATATATATATATATATATATATATATATATATATATATATATATATATATTCTCTGATTGATTTTCTTAAAGTGGGGAATATGTTATAGCTCAAATTGATTTTTCTTAAAGTGTGGAACCCCTACGGCAGTTGCTCCCTCCTTGAACGCTTCTAGGTTACTTTCGTTTTCCATGGCTTGCATGTGCATTTTTTATGGTACCAGTCGGTGGAGCATATTACATGTTAACCATATCCATATTTTAAAAACACAAACTTGTCAGGCGGGTCTAGGAGAAAGTCTGTGGCGGGGGACCATCACCAATAAGCCAAGTTACTCCAAGTACATCAAATGTGTCTGACACCACATCTCAACCCAAAAGATTACCATTGATAAGCGGTGAAGTAAAAATATATTTAGGAACAAAAATTTCCCACTATTTGCTTTTCTATGTAAAATAGTTGGGAAAGATTACCATTGAACAAGATGGAATTGTTTTTTTCCTATGTGATGGAAAAATTAACATATAACATCAGTAAAATTAACTCAACATATCCAGAAAAAAAAAATTCATCATATTTTCAAAAATTATTTTTTCCTAATAAAAAAAATTTCTCCTTGCAAAACACTCCTTTTTTTTGGATTACTTGCAAAACACTCCTTGATTCTTCGTCCAATCAAAACCAAATTTGAAACTTTCTCGAATTTTGAAATGTGACAGAAATCCATCCTAAAAAAATTAATTAAAAATATTAAAAAATTTACTGAGCAGAAAATATGTTGAGGAACAAAAACCTAAGGTAATTCTCGCATAATGTGATAGTAAACGAAGTAATCGAGATCGAGCCAAAAATTAAAACAGAGAGAGAAAAAAAAAAGAAAAAAAAATCTCTCAAAGTAGAAATCAATTAGAACCTAATTCATTTAAGGGAAAAATATCTATCCTTTTAAAGGATATAAGCTTATATTATTTTAGATCCTAACCGTTGATTTCCGTCCATCAACGGTTATAATCTATTGAGTCAAACTTAATGAGCCAAATTTATTATTAATTAATTAATAATTTTGATTCAATAAATTATAACTGTTGATGGACGGAAATCAACAGTTAAGATCTAAAATGATATGAGCTTATATACTTTAAAATGACAGATGTTATTCCTTTTATTTAATTACAATAAATTTCTCACCTTCTACTGATAAATAAGTCCCTCCGATCAGATTAAAAGTTAAATCCTAATAGAATATCCCCAATTATTCCAAAGGGACCCCGGAACCCTCTTCACTTGTATTTCGACCATTTTTTTTTCCCTTCAGTTAGCCAACTTTGAAAGATAAAATGTTAGATGTACATTGAAACAATTTACGCCTGTCTCTCTGACCCATTACACCAAATGTTGTTTTCCCTCTCCATATTCTCCTTGTTGTGTCATGATCTGGTTGGATTTATACTTTTTTTGATGAGAAAATATACCCACTTGCGATAATTGCTTGTGATTCTCTAATTTCTTCTCCAACAGATCTGGAGAAGAAGATGTGCGCTTTTTTTGTTCATTTGTGGCAGATTTATTGCTGAGAAAAGGATCTTCTTTATGTATAACATGTGTTGTTCATTTATTCCATTGAATGTGGGATACATGATTGACAAATTTGTTAAATTGCGTACTTGTCACGCTCACATCTAAAATGGGCGCAACTGCTTGCACCCAAATGAAACGTGGCTTATATGGCACTCACGCCTCACTTAGACGTGACTGGTGAAGTCTAATTTGGGCATGACACACTGCAATATGCGTGTAAATAGTTTCAAAATAACAATAAATTTGTAATTTTTTATTTAAATTGCAATTAATCAATTTTTTTGCCCCCTTTTGACCTTGGACTGTTTGTGTAATTGATCTAAGATTTCTCCATTTTAAAATTGGGTTTGCATTCTATCATTTAACATGACCACACAAACTTTCCTACACACAACATTTTGTGGGACCCACATGTTTTAAAGAAAAAAAAAACTACCGATACGCAAAACGAATCTCTATAACATTACACAATCATTTTTTTACAACATAACTCTTATAAAACTCTTTAAATTTATTCAGAACAATGACCTTATAATGAGAACTAGGACTCCTTGTTTAACGGTGCATATTCAATTGAAAAAGTGCAGGGTTTTAGGGAGATCTACAATTCCTTTCCGAGGGCCCTAGGTTCGGCCTACAATTCCCTTGTGAGTGCCTTAGGTTTGGGTGGAGGCCACTGTCCTACACAGCCATATGTTCCGCCATCCTTGTCGAGAGTAAGGATGGGTATCGATGCTGCTTCATCTCGACCTCCAAATGGCTTGTCTTAGAGAGTATGTTCCAATCTCTATATGAGTGTAATATAGTATTAGTTGGTGAATTATGTTTGTTCAATTAAAAAATGCAGGGAGGTTTTAGGTACAATCCTCCTTCTCCCTTTGAGCCTAGATGTGAGAGGAGACTTCCACGACATGTTCTGTCACCTTTTCCTTGGCCTCGAGTATTATCTCAAAGAGTACGTTTCAATTATATATATACAATATATATTGTTGTTAGAGATCAAAAAATGTGAATCATGAAGATCATATTTATGTTGATAATTATCTGTGTTGCTATTTTTTAATTTTTTTACTAGGTGCCTTGTCTATTGTATCGTTCCAAGTGTTTTGGAAAAAAAAGTTAAATTTTAACTTTTTCATTAATTTGTGTTTTTTTTAAGTTATCATCCAAACACTATTAAAACGATACCTAGTGGGATGATGAGTGTTGGTGTGTTTTATGTGTGTGTATAATACAATAGACAAGGCAGCAATATAATTTTTTTGTGGAAGTATTAGAATTGATGTTATTTTAATAAATAATAAATATTTACTTAAAATTTAAAATATAATATAGAATTAAATTAGTAAAGAAAGTGAAAATTATATATATATTTATATATATATATATATATATATATAGGAAAAAGTGTTTGTCATTTTAAATGACATAAAGCTATGTCATTTTAAGATAGAGATAAACACAAAAAATATTTTTTATTTAAAATTTAAATTAAAAAAAAAATCACCCACTTTTCCCCCATGATTTTTATTTCTTGTGTCTATCTATCTCCTAAAATGACATAATTTATATCATTTAAAATGACAAACATCAAACCCATATATATATATATATATATATGAAATTTTCATGTGATTTTTATGAACATTTTCATATGATCTTTATGAACATTATTTCATGTGATATTAATGAAAATTTATTTCATGTAATTTTTGTGAATAAAATTTTTTAACTTGAGAAAGATTAAAACTTTAACTTCGATGGGCCTATTAACTGTAGTTGAACATCGAATTCGAAATATGGTCAACCATTGAAAATTTGAAATATCCCATGAGAGATGCTTGTAATCTTCTTGTAATTTTGTACAATTTTTTCATGGTATACATTATTTTCATATGATTTGTAAAGGGGAGGTTATAATTACTGTCAAATCTTATGGTTCATATTTCTGGCAACAACAAAAAAAAAGTGTAGCATTTAGTAAGAATTTCTGTAGGTATTTAACCTAACTATAAAAGAGAGTTTTTTTTTCCTCTATTTATTTTTACACTTCTTGGAAATAAAATTATTCTCCATTTGATGGTAGGCATTTGCCTTGA